CATGTTCAGGGCGTACTAGAGGGTTAAGAGTGAAACGATTTATTATTTACAATTCTAATAAAATATATTGGAAACATTTTTAAATATAAAGGTAAAATGTTTTGTTAAATTTATTTTTTAAACGATTTTTTTATTGAAACCTTAAGTACTGTTTACATATTTTTTTCAATTTAATTTTTTTCATGCAGAGAACGAGGGTGAACGATGATCCTCTGTTCAATAGATAGAAAGCTATGCCTACTTTAGCTCTAAAAAATATTGTCAGGGATATGCAGTGTTTTAAAGATAAACTAACCAAAACATGTTTAAATAAAATCAAAATAAAATGAAATATTTATTTCCAATACCTTTTAGTTCTGACAAACTCTTTTTAAACAATAGAAAAAATAAATAAAAGTTTCTGCTCATGAAACAGGATTTAAATAAAATATATTTTTTACAATATTCTGTAATTTGTTAAAAATTCTTTGCTTAATGATATTCCAAGATGGGGAGGGGGACGTGGAAACTAGACGTCTCTGCTACTGAAAGTTTTAAATATGTTAAAATAAGTACTCTTTAGTAGCGAGGTTTGCCGATACTATCCTTATAATTCATGCTGCTGCGCAAAGCTTCACACAAAGCGGGCGTTGCCCAGCGACTGTGTAAACAAACAAACTGGAAGGATACGTCACTTGCCGTAAAGTCTGTTCATAGATATAAGAAAGTGACTAACTGATACGAATTAAGGAAAGACCCGGCCAAGCTGTAAGAATGAAATATGGCCGAACAGGTCCGTACTTTGCTTAGAATTTAATTATTTGGGGTTTTGTTAGGAAAGATACTGAACAATATTTATTTATTTATGTATGTATTTATGTTTAAACCTAAAATAAAATTGCAAATTATTTTTATTACCTACTTAAATTACTTGAAATTATTCACATAATATATCAGTATCACTATCGCTATCATCGCCTGTTCTAATTATGATTTGTTCTATATTATTTGCAATATGGATATACGATTGTTCTCCTTTTTCTACATGTTTAACAAAATTTGCCCAACTTTGTGGAGGGATGTTAAAAACTTCGGTTTCTATAAGTTTAAGGACATTGGCGTTAAAACAGTGAAAAACATTGTTATTTTTCCAAACATGTTCAATGGGATTAAATATAGAGTATTAAGGTGGAAGCCTTAGAATTGTATGTCTTAGATTTTTTGCATAATTATCGCAGACGTATTCCTTTTGTAGGTTCAAGCTATGTAGAACCTCAATTAATTGCCTTTTGGTTTAATCTTCGTGAAAATAAATGTCGTTATTATACATGTAGTTTTGGATTGTTGCTTTTGTGTTACATGAGGAAAGAGTTTTAGTCAATTATCTACTGTGATAACTTACATTGTCCATTACAATTAGGCTATTAGGAGGAATGTTTGAAACTAGTTTGTTTTTAAACCAACTTTCAAATAAATCAGCGGTGGTGTCTTTATAGTAATCCAGAGAAGAATCTTTAATATTTTTCGCAGACAGAGAAAGTCCATTTGGAATCCAACCATCTTTAGAGCCAGCATGCAAAATAGTTATTCTATTACCTCTTTTTGATGGAGCGTTTGTTTTACACTTATCGGTTGAGTCAACTCAACCCTTTTCCGGGGTATCATAAGTGTCGAACCAGGTTTCATCCAAGTAAATAATTGGCCTTTGTTGTTCTCTGTAAATACTAATTTTTTTCTAGATATTCCAGTCGCCATTTCCGAATTCTAAAAGATTCCATTAAATCTTGCTTTTGTCAATTTTTTGAAATCTAAAACCTATGTGTTGAATACACTTCCATACCCACATTTAACACCGGTTTCATCTTTTACAAGCCTCCTAATTAAGATATCTAATGTGGGCACGCTCGCTGAAATGGGAGAAATCACAATTTTCCATACAGTTGATGTTAGAATTTTCGTCAATATGTCCGTTTCTTCTAAAGATGCTTGCTTGCCGGCACCACATTCAATGATTCAACACACGCTGTATTACATATGAAATAATTACTTTACTAATAAACTTAAACTAAGTAGTACACCAAACCAAAGTATATTAAACACAGGTAGGTATAAAATTATTTTCTATTACGGACCACAATTTTACCTAAATTTAAATTCCGAAACTTTAGGTAATAATCTTGTTGCATTGTATGTTAATGGCCACCCTTGGATAATCCCATTCGAAAGCAATTGGTCACTTTCTTATATCTATGAACAGACCATACCTTTTGTTAATTTGTTGCCATAACTTGTGTATAAATAACCCGACACCTTGAGTTAAAGTAATTTTTAATTTTCTACCTAACAGACTAAGTTAACTTTTTCAACGAACTATTGTAGTCGTTTCTGTTCGTGTGTTAATTGAAGCGTTCGCAAATAAACTAGTTCGTAACTTTGCCACGTGGAACGTTTCTGCAAAACGCTTCGCCCGTTTAAGTGGTTAAAAAACCGAACGAGTTTGAGTAATGAGTTTTATGGGGAAAAAGTTCGATTACCTCGAAATTTTTTAAAACTTTTCCCTCTTCTATTTACTTTACTAGTGAGACGGCTAATGCAACTTTTAATTATGAATTAATTGCCTATTAAAAATTTCCGAGATGAGTATTTTATAACAAAAAAAAAATAGTATAGCTGAAACATTCTCGACGTAAAGCTAAAAGAAAACTGTTAGCGTAAAGCAAGGCGGGAGAGGCGTGAAACGTCCAGAGATTTAAGTTAGAGGAAACTCTGACGGTATTAAAAAACTAATTTTCTAAAGAGGTTAAGATTCATGAATAATAAATGCAGCCCGCGATAATGAATCGGCATTTTAAATTTAAAACCTTTTTTGCCGACGGAATAAATTGTCAATAATTTAATTCTTTTGTAAATTAACGATTTGTTTCGAACCGTATTGCAGTCAATTGCTTGGTTTTAATTATAGGAAATTAAATTTTGGAATCGATAAACCGACTTTTTTTGTTGCATGTGGAGGGATATTTTCACGAATGGCAGTATTTCCGTTTCCAGTTTTAAATTTTTCAAAATTTCGCTCAAGAAGTAACGTTGTGTTTCGAATTTCTTACTTTTTTTCGAAACAATTATTGATATTTGAAAATGGTTATTTTCATAAAAACAACCATACTAGAATTGCGTTTTAGATGCAGGGAGTTAAAAAATTATTTTGGTAAGTTTTTGTTAGCTTATTCCAGGTTAAATAAATTTATTATATTTATTTATAAATAGATATGGACATATCTTTTATTTCCATGCACTACTTCAGAAAGTACCAGAAAAGGTAAAACACAAGTCCGCTGTTTGCTTATTTGTATGTATTTGGGGCTCTTTTTCCAAAAAACGCCATATTTTTGCTCTATCACGTGATTTTTTTTATAGCGCTCTATATCTTAAAAAGGTTGTCATTTGGGGCTTCTGTAGCCATGACCGGTTAAACTCGAAGGTTTGAATGAAATGACTGATATGTGGAGACGGAAAACGCCACCGTCCAGGACGTAAATCATGTATATTAGATTTAATAAAATAACACATTGTTACTGGCACCTGGAGTCACATAAAGGTTTTACCTTTATGTAACTTATTTTAGACATATCGTTTTTTTCTTTTTGCATAGAATTTTGTAAATCAGCCTATCAAAATTATATGAAATCAGTTTTCAAAATAAAAACGTATGTCAAAAAGTTTAATTTTGTAGACCTGTGTATTCTGTCACGTTAAAAATAAACAAGAACCCTTATTTAGGCACTTGTCACTTTAAAATAGTACTTACCAAAGTTTAAAAAAATATATTTGCTTAACAAAGTACCTATATCATAACATATTCTCGATGTAATAATGAACTTTCAGACTGATCGTGATCAACAATTTTCTCAAACTTTTTAAGGACCACGATAAGAGCTTTTATAGTCTTTTTTTCCTTTACGAGATTTAATGATTGACAATGAAACATAAACAGTGCCTGACATTATAACCTCGTCTAGAATTAATATTGTTTAATATGAGAGAAAAATCAGCTGAGATGTTCTTTCGTTTGGTTAGGGGCAAATCCTTATTAATTATATCCTTTCGCAAAGAGTGATAACCTATGGCCATAAATATTTTTATATACAGGGTGATTCACTAATAATTGGAAGTATTTTAACTATACAATCCTGAGCCGAAAATATGAAAATTTAACGTTTTAAATGTTGAAGGCATCTGTTTGTCAGGAAAAATTGTATTAGGTAACATTTTGCTTTCATGATAATACATATAAAAGTATCATTTCAAAAATTTTCACTAAGTCGAATTGACATTAGAGTATACTATGCAACAAGTGCGGTAAACGGCATTTGAGTGACGAGTTTATTTGGCACGAGCGGAGCGAAGTGTTTAATAAACGAGTGACCTAAAAAGTTTTCCAAAACTGTTGCATACATGACCATCGGAATTGACAAACGTCAAAATTCAAGCCTTGCGTCAAAATCTCCGAAAATATCCGATTGCTCCCAAACCCGTGCGGTAATATCCCGGAAATGTCCGAAGCGGCTTGGATTCGTTGGATAAAAGACTCACGTGATAACGTGACGCTTCCCGCACTCTAGATCGGTGTATAATAAAATTACTGAAGGGGGCAGACAAAAATAATTAAACATCTAGAAAAACAATAACTTTATATACACCTGATTGTTGTAGTTATATTTGTAACTATTAATGAATCACCCTCTATGTAATAATAATACAACCTACATTTGAAATTTTAAAAATTCCAGAACGAGTCACTAATATACAGATTAAGTCACGAGAAACCAAATTTGAAATTCTACGCCAATGTTAAGACTTTTCTGGATATTTTCGATTGTGTTTCACTTCAAATTCTTTATATTTGTGGCAATTTTTTATTTATTTCAAACTTTTTAATTTATTAAAACTTCAGTGTGTTCAGTAAAAACAATAGGGTGCCAAAAATGACAATAATAATTAAGATCAAACAGTCAGCTTTCTACCTTGAGTGTATCCTTTTCTTCTTGCGTTTCTCCTCCTTGGTTGTCCGCGTTATCGCTGGTTGAAATATCCGAAGCCAAGTCGCATGTTACGGTTGGAATGGGAATTGGAACTGGATGTGATTCGATCGTAGCAATTTGTCGATCACCGTCCCGCGGTGAGTTGTTGCTGTTACGATCGACAGATTCACTAGCTCCTACTGCCTCAGTGCCTATAAAGAAGGATTTAATTGAATTAAATCAGTTTAAAAACAAAATTAATGTATTGTTGGACGGACAAATCGAAGTTAACATTTTAAATAGCGAAGTAATTTTAATAAGAAAATTTAATATTATTAGTGGTCCGTAATGCCGTAAGGGGATCGAAATTCCAAGGAGAGCACAAAGAAAAATATATTTTCTTAACAAATCTTACTAATATACTTTAGTATTCAATTTAAATAGTCCGAAAGGCCTTTTTCATTAATCCACTAAATTTATAAAATAAAAATGAGTCATATTAATGTTTTTTTTTTTTGAGCAACTTCGGACCTTTGTTGCGTTGCCAAAAGATTCAGTTTAAAGTTAATACCTATTACAGACGCTACTGGTAAAATTATTTTAAAATATTTAGCAACAAAAAATGCCCTTTGATCCTTTGATTCTTAAAAAACGTGTACTAAATTTAAAATTAAAACAATATTAAATTTGTTTAAAAAAAAAATTTCTTAGAATTTTAACCGTTTCCGGTGCTCCTGCTGGCAGATGCATATTTGTTATTTTTTTTAATTTCAGGAATGATGGCGAAACAGCAGCACATATATATATATATATATATATATATATATATATATATATATATATATATATATATATATATATATATATATATATATATATATATATATATATATATATATATATATATATATATATATATATATATATATATATATATATATATATATATATATATATATATATATATATATATATATATATATATATATATATATATATATATATATATATATATATATATATATATATATATATATATATATATATATATATATATATATATATATATATATATATATATATATATATATATATATATACATCATACACATAAAATCCGACGTAAGAGAAATCCAGAAGATTTGTATATACTATTACAATGGCAAATTGTGGCATTTTCAATAATTTATAACAATAACTTACTAGTAGGTTCAACAAACATCGTTGTTTTTTTTGTATTATAGTACGTTATTTAAGGTTGTAGGTATATGGGATACATTATTTCCATTTGGATAAAATTATTCACATTACCATAGCCACAAAAACTTCCTCGAGAGCTAATGAAACGAATGTTTTAACAAGTTTCAACTGAATGTTCCCTTTCGTCTACAATTTCTTTTATTCTTTGAATGCATTTCCTTCAAATGACGTCAACGATGAAATCCAATTTTACCATAAATATAAGCATATATGGAAAACGAATAGAAGTGGTAGAAAAATTCAAATATTTGGGTCCTGGATCAGCAACCACCTAGAGCCAGAAATAGCAGTGGGGACTAGAATCGAGCAGCCAAGAGCCAACTTTAATCTGATGGGGTTATTCTTGTGTAATTCCACCCTAAGCCTGAGGCTCAGATAGCGATTTGTGAATTGTTATGTACAGTTTTGTTGTACGGCTGTGAAACATGGACTCCAAAGATTTGCACCATTAACAAAATACAAGCCTTTAAGATGTGGATACACGAGACAACGAGAAGGTATAGAAGCGAGCCCAGTGCGAAAGAGAGTTGGTGAACGTAGTTGAAAAACGGAAGACAGCCTATTTGGATCACATAATGCGTCGAAGTAGATATCAGATCCTGAAATTGAAAATGCAAGGTAAAATTGAGGCCCAGGGCGGCCTAGGTAGAAAGAAGCATTCAAGGCTAAAGGATATCAGATATTGGACATGTTCACTCACTATTTCGAACTGCCCAGGATCGTCCGAGGTTCACCGAGATTTTCAATGATGAAGACGGCACTCTTAGAAGAAGAAAATTATCTAGGACTAGGATGCGGAGTGTCTTACATGCTTAGTGCACAGAGATGGTTTTAAGAATTATAACAAGCCAGTGTAAGCTAAGTTTGCTATACGGTTATGTACAAATGAATATAAATTATAGACAAGAGTACGACATCACCAAAGAACCGCGCCACAATGAGACCATCAAATCCATTCCATACGCGTTTGCCTTTCAGTATATTAAATGGAGTAACCTTTCGAAAAAGGTCGATCCCGACGACGACATCTTATTTTTAGATGATACTCCCAATTTTGCAAATGTCACTCACTCGTTTCGCCCCCCTAAATTCTATATGAAAAGCGTTTTCCGCAGCACGGTATAGTCTCGTTTCGATATTTTCTATTATTTCATCTGTCTGTTTTAAAATTCGAACGAATAAGATGATTGATTCCGTCCCATTCGCTTAAAACTAGATACATCTTGGATTTCTTTTGTATTTTCTAATATCGCTCTCTCGTGTGTCTTCGCGATCCGAAGAGAAATGTTTAGAAATATATCCTGTCCTTCCAAATGCGTTTTCGGTCGGATGCGCGCAGAAGATCCGTGAAGGGGGAAAGATGTATCGCGTTTTTTTTCACGCGATATTTCCGCCATTTCTGTTCTTCTGAAAGCGTCGGAAAGCTGCGGACGTTATAAGGGGGATTTTATCGGAAATATCTTAAGTAGTAATCTTAGTATTTTCTGGAAGTAAAAATTAATTTTTTAATCCAATGAGGCCAGAGTCTCGAAATTATCATTGTTAGTAATAAATATATAGTGTGCATAAAATGAGTTTGACCAGTTCCATTTATAAAAAAATAAAATGTTTACTACTTTTATTTATTTATTTAAAGAAGTCTACCTAAGAGGCATGAAGTCCAACTAACAGGTAGGTTCTAGCACAAAGTTTAAATAGTTACAGAAACATTGCAAGTAATGTTGATATGACGAAACTGAACCTGAAGGTTAGCCTAACATAGACGTTAGCTCTAGTAAAAAAAACAAGCAAATGGGAAAACACTCAAAATCATAATTCTAGTTAATGGAGCAATAACGTTTTTACCTTGGATTGCGAAAAAAAGTCTAAACCGTGTCGAGCATTGTACTTGGAGCAGATAGAGAAAATAGGTGGAAATTTTAAAATATTTGTTGTTCATGTGGTGGTAGAGTTAATACGGGGAACCAGAAAATTTAATCTATGTAATAAGTCATCAAACATCATCAAACAAGTTATTTCAAATTATAAATAAAGTCATCAAATAATGGTAATCTTGGCTATCACTAAAAGACACATAACCAAATCTATTTAAAAAGCCTTGTGGGGGATATACTCTGTCTATCTTATACCACACATAAAAAACTTACGGTGATTTTTTCCAGGCTATTACTATGACAATTGTACTCAGGAGATCAAACTAGTGATGCATACTCCAGCTTAGACTTGATGTACGAGTTATATAAAATTGAATTCATAGCTTCTTGAGGCATCCACCAATATCTTATCAACATGAGGAACAAAGGTTAATTTCTGGTCGAATATTATTCTTAAGTCACAAAAAATGCTAGAATGGGAGAGAGTTTTATCAAAAAGATGATAGTCATATTTCACAGCTACACTCATGGTGGTAAAAGAGTTGATTTGTTATATACTAAGGTGGAGAGCAACACAATCCTCTGAACACCGGATTTTTTTTGAAATTTTTTACGTCGTTATGTCATATCCATCCGGAGTGTAACCATAGAGATAGACGTGCGATTCGAAAAATCCTAAAGAGCTCGTGGATTAGAATTTTGTGATGTAGGCGATCAAACGCTTTTGAAAAATTAAGATATATGACGTCCATTTGAGAACCTGCATCAACAGCCTCAGAAATATACTGAGACATCGTCGTTAAATTGGTAATGCTAAATCTTCCTTTAAAAAAACATATTGTTGGAGAACTCTTTGGTTCTTAACAACATGAAATGTTTTGTCCTATGGGGGAGATTCTAAAACTCTACAGAAATTGCAGATAAAGGAAATAGCCCTATAGTTTGTGTTTTGTGATGTCTTTTTGGTGTGCGGGAAATTTAGGAGAGATCATTATGCTAGGTGGCGCTGTAACTCCGCCAGGGGCCTTTTTTTTAATGGAATAAAAGGAAACTTAGAATTATAATTACTTTTATTTCCGTTCAACCAGGTAAAATCTGAATTTTTTTTTCAAAATTCGGGTGCTTGAAGATTCGAGTCTGCTCTAAGAAACTAAAACATCTTTTAACAATCTATTAACTATGAACTACCCTGGAGTTTTGTTTGACCCTAAACTGACCTTCGAACCCCATATCGTTTTGTCTTTCTGATAAAATTTCGAGTACATCTGTTGCTTAGCCTGTCTTAACTGAAAGTTCTCAAAGCGGCATATTTACTTTTTTGGGCTTCATTTTGTTATTCAACTTTAATCGCGGGTATTGACCATATGCTATAAAAGAAAAGTTTAAATATTTTCAAATATTAACGGTGTCTTTATAATATATCTATTCAGTATTGATATTTGTTAAACAAATCCGGAATTAGTATCCTCTTTCTGTTGACATTCACAATCATCGGATTAGCAATAGGAATGATATCGTGGTCGAGAATAAAAATTATTACGGGTTTTCTAGTTTGTTACTTCATACTATTAGGGAATTTCCGCAAAAGGCAACTTTGCAATGAAGTAAAAGCTCTTCTGGTAGATGCGGCCTACTACTCTAAGTTTTTAAACAATGTATAGGTTTTGTATAAGTGTTATTTTATTTTATATTTATATAAGTATACCTTTCGACTTATCGCAGACCTAATGCGATTATAAACGTCAATACATTATTGTTATCATAAGAAACTAAAATATTTTTTCTACTCCCTTCTATAAAATACCTAATTACACACCGATCTAGCGTGTGGGAAACGTCACTTTACCACGTCAGTTTCGTTTCCTACGGATCCGAGCCACTTCGGACATTTCCGGTATTTTACCGGATGTCCGGATGTTGTCGGAGATATTTTCCACACCTCCACACCTTCAATTTTGACGTTTGTCAGTTCTGACGGTCATCTCCTGGAATGTATTCGTGTTGTTTTACGAAAATGTACCCAAAAACTAGCGGTCGTAGGAAAAGTATAGTATGCAACACGTTCGGTAAACTTTTTAAGTCACTCGTTTAATAAACACTCGCTCCGCTGTGCTCCGCTTGCGTCAAGTAAACACGTGAGTCAAATGTCGTTTACCGTACTTATTGCCTAATATATACTATTTCCACTTCTAATAGTAACATTTGGCATCGTTATAATAGTATATTATGCGGAACGAGTATTTAATAAATGAGTGACATACAAAGTTTACGGAACGTGTTGCATACTATACTTTTTCTACAACTGTTAGTTTTTGGTTACATTTTCATAAGACAACACGAATACATACATTCACTGACACGACCGTCAGAATTGACAAACGTCAAAATTCAAGACGTGGGAAATATCTCCGAAAACATCCGATTGCGGTAAAATCCCAGAAATGTCCGAAGTGGCCCGGATCCATAGGAAACGAAACTGAGGTGGTCAAAATTGTGTAATTTGGCTCAACTCTGTACTTACTATGGCTTTGCAATTATTTTGCTTCTCCTACTACTTTTGGTTTAAGTATCAATGAATGAGAAGGATAGTTTTGGTTAGTTAGACAAATAACTGTGAATTGTCGTTTATATGTTGAGTTAAACATTAATATTATTTTTATTTTTTGGTGGCTTAATTTTTGGGCAAAAATAGAAAAAAATGTGCGATGAACTTACCGTTTTTGGTCGTACGGCCAGGAGAATTTGTAAAACTTGTCTGGGCGTCCGGCGCCGGTCTCCTCGGAGGTTTTCGGATACCTCTTCGGGCTCTCGCTTTCGCTGCGTAGTATATTCGGATATACACGAACACCATAATGCACGACGGTATATAAAATGAACCCAACGCAGAGTATAAGACGTAGCCCAGTTCCTCGCTCAGCTGAAACAAACAAACGTATTTTTTAAAAATATACTCCACACCAGCTAAATTATAAGTGATTACATTCAATATAAGTCCTTGTACTTCCAGTTTCTTGAAGTTTTCGTGTTATTTACAGGAAAAAGCGTAAAATCTATATTTGAACTTTGGACCATGACATTTGAGACGCTCTTTATAACAGTGTACGTTTTGTTTTTTATAAAACTTCTGGATTCCTCCGGCATCGGTTTTTGTTGAGTCTAACAAGCTAAGTTTAGCCAATCGTCCTGCTCGGCTTTTTCAGAGCAAACACCACACCTTCCAATAGCAATGAAACCGAAAGCAATCCCACACTTGCCACTGTTATCCTTCCTTATATTCAAAACATCAATGACCATATATCAAAAGTTCTAAAGAAATATAACGTGAAAACCAGATTTACTACCTGTCCAAAAATCTCTCAACATCTTCGATCCGTCAAAGACGAAATTCCATTTGAGATGCCAGGTGTTTACAGCATTCCATGCATAAGCGGCAGAGAATACATTGGAGAGACCGGACGAAAAATAAGAACTAGGCTCAAAGAACAAGAAAGATATTTAAAGCTAAGACAAATAAACTCATCAGCAGTTGCCGAACACAATCACGAAACCGGACATAAGATTGTACTCGATAAAACTAAAAACTAAAAATCCGAGAGTCTATAGAAATCTATAAGCAACTCAACAATCTTAACCGCCACTCAGGTCTCTACCTGTCACCAATATGGGAATCAGTTATCCGAGACGATGTTCATGTCCCTCATTTAGTTCCGCCCCTCTCAAACAATATAAAAGCAGGTACAAAGTAAAATTCGAACCAGTTTCAGTCAAGCTCTGAAGAAGGATGATTGGCGAAACGTTAGCTAGTTCGACTCAACAAAAACCGACGCAGGAGGAATCCAGAAGTTTTATAAAAAGTGTTACAGTAGCGCGTGGAAGTTTCTTTGAAAAATTAACGGGGTAGATTGTGAAAAAAAATAAATAAATAGAACTTCATAAAAACATATAGCGTGGCTTCGGTTGATGTATTCGAAAGTAGAACAAAAAATTAAATTTGCATAGGCCACATAAACTACAGTTAATTGATCAATGCATCAACATTTATTCTGGAACCGTCTCTATTTCTTTATATTTGGATTCCCCGAATAATTGTAAACATAATTTTTCAAAGAAAGTTCCACAGGCTACTGTAATACTTTTTTCAAAGCTTCTGGATTCCTCCTGCGTCGGTTTTTGCTTGTAGCAATTTCGACTCGGCAAAAACCGCCGCAGGAGGAATCCAGAAGCTTTGTAAAAAGTATAATTGTAAACATATTTTGTATAGCAAATTGTGATTATAGTTTGCTTTTGCAAGAAATATTAAATGGAACGTTTTCTGAAAAATTTTGTGTTTTTTCCACACAGAATTCTAATTTTTGACAGAAATACCACGGAATCTACGATTTAGTAGCATTTCTGAAAGAAATTTATTAGTGTGAGAAATATGAAGGAAAAGGTTTTTAAATTTTTTTTAAGAAAGTATTTTTTCGAAACAGCACGAATACATTCACTTAGTGAAGGGAGACATTATCGTCACAATTGAGACACGTCCAAATACTATGGCCAAAATCTGCTGAAAACATCCGGGTTTGGCAGCCGTGACTAAAATTCCGGAAACATTCCAAGTGGCTCGCGGCCGTGGGTAATTCTGACATAGTGACACTTTGTATAAACTTTATCAGTTCATAATTGGATATTTTAGAGTACGGAGTAGAATAATAGACATAAGTGCACCTATCTGTCACATGTTTTGACATATTAAAATTTTTATATTTTACAGTAGGGAATATTTCGTTTTCAATGTTGGCAGGAATACTTCACTTGAACTCTACATTTTGTTTAAAGCTTTAAATGAATGTCCTGCGAATTTGTATCCCATTTCACTGACGCTACATCTGAGGTGCCAATACCATCCCACTGAATAAGACTTTATTTTTGTATATAACGTTCTTGAAGGGTCGCAAATTATGGAAACCGCACTATGAGTAGGTTATACCTCATGAAATACTATATAGGCTATATCAGATAAAAGTTTCGATGTGCACAATAATATTTTTATTTTATCCCTAATAATAAATGGTATAATAATTTTTCCTTTATTTCCCCATTCCCATTCCCATTCCTGATTCAGTGGCAGCCATGGACAATGCAAACTATCATCCACAACGTATGGAAAAAACTCTAATTTCATTTTGATAATCAGAAAAACATATTGTAACTGTGCTATGCATACCTCCATATAATTGGGAACTAAAATACTACAGAATGTATAAGGGCACAAGTGAATGGATTTGTAGCAAGACGCAACAAAATGATAGGCCACTGTTTGATTGAATAAAAAACTTTTTTAGTAATTTAATTCTGTATAATATATTTTTTGTAAATTATTTAATAGTAAATAAGGATACCGAATACTACGTATATAATGCAAAATTTTTATTCTGCTTATACGAGAACCGGGCGGTACTTCCTGAACTCGATAAAAATCAAGAATTCTGCAATGAAATCAATGCGAAACAATGAAAGTGACTTAAGTATTCTTCGGGTTACTCTGTAGTGTATTTGCGTACTCAATAAGGTTTTATCGTTCTACACCTTTCTGAAATGGATTATGATTAATTTATATTTACATGTTTATAAATCTGCAAGCCATTCACGATATGAAGAGAAAAAATCAATAGTTATGCCGATCCACTAAAGCGGCTTAAACAAAGTTGCAGCGATGCTGAGGAGCAACAGAAATATTGCCCAACAGTTCGATAAATTATTAAGCAACGAATGAATTTTACCTCTCTCGTGCCGAATTCGCCGGACTATTATTCAATTTGCTAGGTGGCACATACACACCTGTTGTTAGGAAAATTTACGTGCACCGTGTTTCAATTGTATTTCTTTAGCTTTGCGGGCGTACACAGGCAAGGAAATTTCGTAATGGAATAAATTAGGTTTACTGCCCGGCTCTGGTTGTGTTTGATTTAGAGATCTTGGTTTGTTTGCCGCGAAATTTACAAGTTTGGCATTGAGAGGGTTTTTCTGATTTGTTTTTCACGGATTTAATTGAATTCTCATCTTTTTTATTTGGGCAATTTAAAAATCCAGATTGCCCGTCCTATAAAATCGGATAGGGAAGGGAACGTACTTAGATGGCCGCCAATTTCCATCTAATTCAAGATATAAATTGATAACTAGATAGATATACTTGTAAATTTCACTGAGGATGGAAACTGAAGGGAAACTAAGAGGTTTCCATTTGCAAGAGAGCAGAGAGGTGGAGTAAGGGTATCCAAAAGCTGGTGGGGATTCTTAACTATTAATGTAATTTTTTTAATTATTATTTTACACGCTAGAGTGAAAATTCAGCAACGAGGCTACTGGTAATAAACAGAACCGATAGATAACTGAGATCAGCCACAAAGCAGATATTTTAGCAACTTTTTTAATACTCCATATTTCAGCTTTGGGGTTGATCTCAGTTACTCATCTTATTTTTTACAACAAATTGAAACCTGTCCAACTTTTGATAGTGTGATTATTGCTAATTGTGTCCGATTGTGTTTCTGTATTGAAATTTTTTTGCGAATTTGGAAATTGTTGTCATCTTTTAAAAATGTTTGTTACTAAGTTTCGTTATGCTTTTGCAGTTGCGTTATACTTTTAGGCAGGGTTTAGGCAAAAGTTATTAAGTATGAAGTTTCTGAAAAATCTATATTTATATTGCATAATTTTAAACGCTGATCAGCATTATCTTTATCGATATTTGAATTCTTTGTGCGTCCCAAAAGCTATAGCCCGATGTGTTTACCGGCATAAGGGGTGTAATATTGATTTTTATCTCGTAATATTACGAGTGTTATTTACTTTATTATCAGGATTGCTGTACCGCCAGTTAAAACAGGAACAATAATAAAGCACGCTTGTAATTTGCGAAAAAAAGCACACATTTTATTATTAATTTGGTTTTCAAAATGTTGTAAAAAAACAAATTGTACTTATATTCGATATCATATTAAATGACATTTAATAATTCATTATAACTTCTAGGAACTCAAAAATATTTTTTATACAACAATATATCCCAACTTTTGGTCAAGAGTTTATGGAATCGTCGAAGGGATTTTTAGTTCGGATCGAATTGTAACCTTCAAATCAATTGGTCATTACTTTAATTGTGAAGATGTAAGGTTTTTGTACAGGAACATTTTCCATTTACTAAAAGAAAGACTAGAATACTAGATAATGAATTTTTTTATGATGCTATTAACCTCGGTTTTAGATTCCTTATCTTGAAAGTTTCCTCATGCTTTCTTTACTGAAGAGACCGGACAAAAAAAAATCAACTAGGCTCAAAGTACGTGAAAGAGCTTTAAGGTTAAAACACGAAAAACTGGACGTAAAATTTTATTCGATAAAACTAAAATTCTTGCAAGTGATCAATTCTTCTTCCAAAGAAAATCTTAACCGCGACTCATCAATATGGGAATCAGTCATCCATCATCCGTCATCACAATATAGAAGCAGGTACAGAGTAAAATGCGAGCCAGTTTCAGTCAAGCTCTGAAGAAGCCAACAGGGTGATTGGCGAAACGTTAGCTAGTTCGACGCAGCAGCAATCCAGAAGTTTTATAGAAAATATAACAGTAGCCTGTGAACGTTTCTTTGGAAAATTAAGAATAATATTTCTAAGGATTACAGTTTCACCGGTATTTGAATAACAGAAATGGCCCTACTAAAAGTTCAAATACGTCCCGAGAAAACTAACCAAACCGAAATAGAAGCGAAAGAATAAATTGAGTAGCTATTACGGGAAATTTATAGCTTTCAAGCGAGGTAACATCCGGCGTGGACACCTGAAAATATTTGCGTGCTTTTCGGCTTCGCTATAGGTCGGGTCGGCTCTCGCTTTATATCGTGAAGCTTGTTGCATGATCGGAAAATTGAAAAAGGAAGTCGCACTCTATTAGCATGTTAAGTGCTATGAATAAATTCAGGGGAGTTGAAGGAACTTTAAGCGGCGCAAAATAAACAACACTCGCTTTTCGCGAGACGCTGTTGTAGGTTAGGTACATTAAAAATTCCATTTGAAATCTGCTTAAATTAGAGCGGAAGTTAATAGTAAAACGTCACTGTTCAAATGAATCACAATCTTAATATCGATCATGTGTTACACTACGGATGGTTAATATAATCGATAGGAGCGTAAATTGGCAATTGCGAAAATTAGGATGACGGTTAAATTTAAAAATATTGTCAAATTTAAAGATTCTTGAAAATTCATATTCACCTTTCTCAAAGCTAGTTTCAGATATATCTTATACTTGTACTTTACCTAAGACGTTTCGTCGAACAAAAATCATCAAATGTCAAGCTTTCAAATACGAAGCGGAATTAAAAAAAAATCTTTAGTGAAATTTGTCAGGTTTGTATGTTAAAACCTAGATCGGAAACCAAAACTGTGATAAAAATTACAAATTTATTTCAGTCAATAAAATAAGCTTTATCCATTGTTATTGTTTACTTAATTTATTGACTACGCGACTGGTAATAAAACGTTTTGATAACTATGCTAAACGTAATAAATTTTCTGATTTCGGTTAATAAACTGATTTATAATCTATACAGGTTATTATTTTTTGAATTTTACAATTTTCAATATATAGCAGCATAGCATAAGGAAATAGTTAGAGGAAGCCAAATTTCACAATTTCAAGTAAAAATTTCAATTACTTCTTTCTTTTAGCGCTTATGTTACATCTTTCATTATTTAATAAACGGCGGAACTGAAATTTGTCATACAGCTGCAGCTACGTTTTATTTCAAAGAGCTAATAAGTTTTTTTCTCATGAACTACCGGGTTTGCTGACTTCGCACTCGTTGGGCAGATATAACTGTCGATGACTACACACTGAAAATCAGTTCTTTTGTAGAATGGTCAAAATTATTTTAATTTTAATCAGTACGAATGTTTATGTTTATATTTGAAATCAAAGGATATCGGGTAGCGGTATTTTAAAATTGATGTCAGATATAAACCTGATTATGTCTGCTGTCGATATATCATTATCAACAATCTGTCAATCTAGATTTTCTGCAACGTAAGAGAAAAATTCTTCTATTCTATTTCTTTTCCAAAATTTCTTAAAAAATGGGTAAATCCACAAAATTTTTACGACATTAACACTCCTAAAAATCCACAATTTTTTTAATGAAAAAAGGAAGATTTGCAATTTGCTTACAACATTTTGCAAAATGTATAAACTTAAACGAAGTAAAGTTAATACAGAATTTTTATGGGTAAAATTAATTTACGTCTAAGAATAAAAGATATGAGAAGCAGCAAAAATTTGCTGTTAAATATTTCATCATACAAAATTTCACCAGGCTGTACAAGATACAACGCAAACATCGCACAAAATGAGATAAGAAAAAAACCAATGTAATTATTTAACTGCCCTCGCATTGATGTTGTGTTGAATTTAATCTAAATTCGCAAACATAATATGAGATAACTAAATCCAGTTTTAGGTAAACCACAAGTGAATATGGTTACGGAAAATGCATCCAAGTCGTCGGAAAGTCAAAAATGGCCGCAAATTTTAGCGATATTAATAGGTACATTTTTAACGTTTGAATTTTTTAAGCACGGGGAACAGTTATGGGTGACAGTGTGACAGCATTCTCTCAATTATTACAGTAAGCATAACTTCACTGAACAATGGAGCGATGTTCTCTTGGACTTCTCCATTTATGCTCACAGTGACAGAGGATAAAGTTAATTACAACATCACCATCGAAGAAGCGTCATACTTCACTGTATTTCCCCCGCTTGGTAAGATATTTTATGAACAAAATACTTGCTACATATTTCGCCGTATACATTTTAACACTCGTTCATTAAACAGTGACTTAATGACAAACTTGTTACTTCAATTTCACTTCTATTTTTATTTAAAAAAATATGCAGGACCTAATAAAAAAAATTTTTTTCAATTTGTGATAGATTGAATACAAAAGACCTTTAAAATCAAAAAATCTCCGAAACTCTTTCGTTAAATGTGGGACATAACGGGTGATTCAATAAGAGTTTCCACATTACAATCGGAAATATTTTTGAAACGCCACTGTATTTGTTTATTATTATATGAGATTTCTAACCTCAAAACATAAACAACAACTGAACAAGTTTTTTTTAGTATTTTAATGTGGAAACCCTTATTGAACCACCCTTTATAAGCTACAAACATACTCTGAATTCATTGAATATCTTAATTTACTGTACTTACTTTTTAACTACAGCTTAACAATTCGCGTTTCCTTGGTCTATATTTATCATCAACATCATGTAATATTTTATTTAATATTAATACTTTTTTTTTATTTATTAGAGTTTTCTACCAGGAAACGTGTAAAATAAAAATAAAAATTACAAAGATGGGCCGACTTTTTCGTAGCTCTCTGTACACATATTACAAATGACATAATAACTATTTATACATATTTATTATTAATTCCCTTCTATAATCACTTTCCTCGCTGCGGATTTGCTGTTAAAGTTTTGAAGTGGGATCCTCCTTCATTTTGATATTTTCGGTCTTGCCTCACTTCCCTTGGAACCTCGAAATAACGTTTTCAGGCATATTAACCGCGAGCTTGGCGTTCTTCAACCTCAACGACTTAATCGGGAGAAAATGGACGTTAATGGTACTGACATTGCCCCAATTTACTTTTTGGATCACGACAATATTTGCGAGGAACGTTTACGTGTTCTACTTTGCCAGGTTCGTAAGCGGAATGAGCGACGCGGCCATGTTTTTCTCGCTCCCCGTTTACATCGGCGAAATATCGACTCCGAAAGTGAGAGGAACATGGGGAAATCTGCAAACGTTCGCCTATTATCTGGGAACATTCTCGATCAATTCAATCGGTAAGATGGCGGCTGTGAGTGGTCCTGTTGTTTCACTGCTGATTTCAGGCAGTTTCTTGGGAGTAAAACAAACGGCTTATATCTTCCTCTCGTTGCCGGTGCTCTTCCTGGTCGGTTTCTCCATGATGCCGGAATCTCCCTATTACTACATAATGAAAGGCGAGCATGCGGAAGCCAAGAAATCCATACGATGGTTTCTGAAGAAGGACATCGTCGAGGAAGAGTTTCTTCAAACGAAACTAGACGTGGAACGTCAAATTTCCGAATCGGGAACGTGGAAAGACCTGTTTTATATCAGGAGTAATCGAAAAGCGCTCCTGGCTGCCGTATTCCTGCGTTACGCCCAGCACATGGCGGGTTTAACGGTACTGCAGACGTATACTCAGATAATTTTCGCTCGATCCGGAGGCAGTCTCAGTCCTCAAATCTCCGCGATCATCTACAGCGGATTACTATGCGGATTTAACCCGATGTCCGGACTGCTTCTCGAGAAAGTCGGCAGAAGAAAATCGTTCATGGCGTCCTGCTTCTTCTGCGCGTTTGCGTCACTCGTGGAAGCTATATATTTCTACCTTAACGATAACGTGACGTCGGTCAATATGGATTCCGTACGGTGGATCCCCTTATGCGGCGTAGTCGGGTGGATAATATTTTTTTCGGTCGGTTTGAGCAGCGTACCGACGCTGATGCTCGGCGAATTGTTTTCGGCCAGCATCAAAACCAAAGGGCTTTGCGTAACGAATATTTGCTTCGCCCTCTCGTCCTTTTTCCATACGTATTTGTTTCATTTGCTCAGTACTTACGTCGGTATGTATTGTCCGTTTTTAGTGTACTCGATCGTATCGCTGGCGAATACAGCGTTGACTTTGTGGATTATACCCGAAACGAGGGGCCGTACGTTGGAGCAAATACAGCAAGAATTGAAATCAAAGGGTGCCTAAAAAATGCAATTCGGAATTAGTCGCTTTGAACCAACTTCGATAGTAACGTCGGCCTAGAATAGGACCGTTGTATTTTTTCGACTAACGGGCGTTGTTCACATATTTGAATTGGCGTAAAGTAAACATTTTTTCACCGATCTCGAAATTGTTTACTTTTTTGTAGTATTAGTGAGTGCGCCTGCGCTAAATCTAAGATGCTTCCGAAGTTTTCTGTTATTATTACTCTTGTTTCTATTATTATGTTATTATACTGCTGAGCAAAGGAATTCAACAAATTTTAATATTTTGTGTGTAACAGCTAACATTCACTCCAATCGATATTTCAAAGTTATATTTTTAAACTTTAAAAACAAAAGAAAATTTACAAACCAATTCATTTTTTTCCAATGGCTTTTATGCATTCATTCAGAGAACCAGGAAATTGCTTTTAATTTGTGGTTTTTGTTACTTTTGTCAACATCAATGGGTAGCAGGTTCAGTAATGTCTCTTGCGAGTAAAAGATTTCTTTGGATGGTATAATAATTCTGTAGCAAAAAAAATGGCTTTATTTCAGTTGCAGGCCCCTTGGTCCAATAACTTATGCTTTATATAATGCTGTTAAAAAATTAACCTCTTTTTAATTTCGCATTTCTATAGCAAAATTGGTAATGAGAATCAAAAAAAAAATATTAGACGTTCTGGAAATTAGAAATAGGACTTTTGAGAATTTTTGGAGTGCGATCACAGGAAGACAATTACAATAATGAATTAGACTGTATGTTAATAACCTGTATAAAATATATCACAAAAAAGTTTACGTAAATTCAGTTCAAAAATGATTATTACTAATTGGAAACTAATTTGTATAAAATCCTTATGGAGGTGTGAAAAACTAAAAAGAAACAAAAAATAATTGTATCAATAAAAAATAACGAATATCTGAATTACACGTAATAAATTTAAAAATTTACAAGAAGTGCTAATGAAAATTAGGAAAAAAAGGGAAATTAAAAGTAAGACATATTTTAGACATATTTTTCAACAACAATTTCTTTCTCTCTTACCAAGCAGGATATAGAAAGAAATGATCGATGATCGATCATCTAGTACTGCTTGAACATCATATAAACGAAGCTATCAGAAAAAGAAAGCACTTGGCATCAGTACAGTAAAGTTTCAAGGTCAGAGCTGATGATACTTACCCTACATCTAGAGTATTGGAGAACGGCATCTCACAAGGACAACACTTACGTTGATAGCAATTGCAATAAATGATATATGTAGAAGTATAGGTCCAGAAATAAAAGTGTATCTATGTAGATGATATAGCAGTCCTCTGCAGAGGCAAAAAAGTTGAATAATTAACAAAAGCATTGCAATCAGCTATTAATGTGGTAATACGAAACGGTGAAAAGATCGGCTATAAATTTTCAAAATAAAAAGGAAAAAAGTAAATGTGTTCACATGGTATTATCGAGTGTGTAAATAAAATAAAATGCTTAGAACTTGCTTTTGATAGCAGACTCATCTGACAAAATGAAATTGCGAAACTCGCCACATAGTGTAAACAATTACTAAATATCCTGAAACTTTATGCGAAATGGGGAGCAGATCGGAAAAGTTGACTTCAAATCTGCAAAGCGTTCATTGTGTCAAAAATCTGCTAGAAAATCTTACTAGATTTACTAGAACGTATTCAAAATATTGGAATTAAATATTGCCTGCGTGCTTTTCCAACAACACCGGTCCAGTGTTTGGATTGATGCCACAAAAACTACAAAGAAAAGTCGCGATGACAACATATATAATGGCTGAACAATGAATTCCTCTTGTCTGATATAAATACCTACTCGAGTAGAAGAAGTATTACACGTCCTTTAGCAGTGAGATATAGAGAATATCTCAAAAAGGTTGAGGTTAACTTACCCAGAGAACCGATAGAAGATGGTGATGAAATCACAACTGCCAACAACTTGTTACCAAGGAGAAAACACTTCAGAAAATTAGTTAACGAAAAAATCCGTTAGGACTACCAAAACATCTGGATTGGATGTAACACCTTGCTTGGACAAATAATACCAGAAGGAACACCAAAAAAGAACCATACAGACTGGAAGTAGTAAGAACTTTTGGAGTATCTACAGGACACACATCCCTTACCCACAAACATCTCCTTAATGATGAACTTCCTCCCATGTCTGATATATGTGAAGTAAATTTGATCTTCGTTCATCAGTGAATGTCCAAAGACAACAACATAAAATAAAACTGATTTCTGAAGACAACTTGAAGAAGGAACAGATATATAAAAAAAATTATGACTATCTGTGTGTATGCAATAGAGTAAGGGCCCTAGCAGCTGATGCGGCGGGTGTTTAAGTGGATGAGCCGAGACTACACAACTCACGAGGGAGTGAATTAAACAAATTGCGTCTCACGCGAAATTCCAAACACACAGCTATGAGTGAATAATATTCCGCGGTTAAAAAATATCTTGCTCTCTTCTCTTAGATGCCCTTCTATGTTTTAACAAAGATATACAGGACCACCTCAAAGAATTTGCCTGCTTAACAAATAACCCAGTCAGTCACCCTGTATAACGAGGTAGTGAGAAACTGCAATAGCTTGATTTTAGATGTTTTAAATCAGGTATCCCTGTATCTTTACAGCGTATGCAACCTTCCAGCTTTTCAATTTCAATCAATAAGAATTTAGCAATAAGTTAATACAAATTAGTTAGTTTTGTTTAATCACATCCACATTAAAGTAATTGTACGTATGGAGCGTTCAACAAGTAAGGTGACTTTTAAGTTTTATAAAAAAATATCCCCCCAAGATATAATATACTTGTGCGAACGTTTTTTCTAATCTTTGAAGCACTTCTGGTAAGCACTTTCTGGAATAGCCTTGACTTCTTCCAGCGATTTTTTTTATCTCCTTAGTCGTTCCAAACCTACCTGCTTTCATGGGTTTCTTGGGTTTTGGGAACAGGAAAAAATCGCAGTTTCTACGGTTTAAATGTGGGTCTGCACTTTCACTTCTCTGCTAAATTTGAAGTCGATAGTTACAAAATGTGACTCTATTACACTTCTGAATGTGGTATAGAATATCCCCGGTACAAAAGTTTTAGATGTCCATACGGACTATATGGTCGCGTGAAAGAAAATGGCAGCTGAAACACAGCCTTCTAGTCATGGTCAATTATCCTTATAAGGGGTACCCAATTTTCAGTTTTTTTTTGCAATTTTCCGGCGCACCCTGTACATTTTTAAAAAATCATCAAGAATAAGTGATTTTGGCCACTATCTCGCGCGTCTTCTGGGTCAAGAATTGTTTCGATCGTCTATACCGTTTTCGATTTCATCGATTTTTCGAAAGTCACAAGCATAATTAATACATATTTTTTATTGTAAGATTTTTATGCATTATGGTCTCCACATAATCTCCCCGACATAGACTTGAGAGAAACCTCATAAAATTCGCATTTAACGCGACGAAATAAATCGAAAAAGTGAAGAGAAATCTAATATTAAGTCACATTTTGAAAGGGACTTTATTAAATTCCGCGCCGTTTGTTGTGAGTTTTCCCCCGATCCCCAAATTGATTTTAATTTAATAGACCGTCTTCCATTTTCCCCGCCGCCCGCGGAACGTTTTGTTCCGAGTTTTCTGCCGAAGAATTATAAAATCGCCAGATTTCAATTTCAAATATCGATGCTCCTTTTATACTGTCGCTATACGAATCGATCCATTATATTTTTAATTAATGCTTTAAATCGAAAGTCAACGTTTCTCAACAATTTCTTGATATAGAGGTATATCGGGGATGAAATTGATATCGGGGATGAAAGGAACGTTTCGTTCTAGAAGACATGGTTTTCAAAAGAACGACTGATTTTCTTTATCGAATTTTAACTTCACGGAACTTTGGAATGTTCATGGTGAGCTGCTGCTGTTCTTTTCGTGACACAATATCTTGAAAACTGGCGCGAACATAAAATAATATTAAATCTACACTCTATCTCAAATTACAGCAGTTTAAGGTAAAATGGAGTACGTAATAATCTCGGTAGCAGGTAGAAGTCGATAGTCTTAATGCGAACATTTTAACTCCAACTTCAAAAATGTTTACAATAATTACCGAGATTTTAATAAGAATTGACTTCTACGTAAGAAATTCTGTTAATATGTAAATGTAAATTTTCGGAAACATTTTTAGGTTAAATTACTAGTAGTAGTAAAAAAATATTCCAATATTTGAATATTTTCGTTTCCACAATATATGAAATATATTGTATTCCTTATTATTAAATTGAAATACAAATTATTAAATTAAAAAAATACATCTCTTATGTAATATTTGTTATTAATGTATTTAAATCGAAATTGTAAAATATGTTGTTTAAATTGTATTTTCAAAATTTCATATTTAGTGGCCGAAAATTTTAATAAATTGAATCTTTTTTTTTTCATTTTGTTTTAGGATTTATTTTATTAGGAAAAAAAATGTTTCTTTTCACTTTATTACACGAGTAATGAATAAACTTAAATATGGTTTCTCTCATATTGCACTTGTTTTATTTTATGCACTTTATTTTAACTGCACAATAATTTCTATTAATCTGACAATAAGAACAAAATTTATTTTACATTTCATGATTTTAGTTTCAAACTTTCAAACTGATAACACAGGGCACCAAAATGAGAAAAAATGCTGCCGGAATAGTTCTGATTCTAAAAATTGATAATAGATAAAGATAAAAAATGTAGAAATAAATATATACTTAATGGAGAAAATAGGAATTTCCGACTTTATATTAAACTCTAATTAGCCAAATATGTAGTTGGAATAGGGAACTTGACGTCTTACATACAAAACACCGAAAGTTTTTCATTTGTTGAGGTTCGCGGTGTAGAAGCTAAAAGGTATAGAAAATTTAGGCACTAGTTTTAAGTCAATATAATCAACTCAAAGTTTTCTAGTTTTTAAAATTCAAACAATAATATTTGTGTTGCTCCCATTATTATCATGCAAAGCACAATACGCACGAATACAAACTGGTGTAGATTAAATACCATCACACTATAGACGAGTCAAAAATAAAGGTAAATAATATAATTCTCGGCATATAATCTGAGAATAATACTATAACATATCGGCCTATCGATCGAAAAGCAGCGGTATGACGTCACGATCATTCATATTGGTTTTGAGTCTTGATTTTTGGTATGTGTTATATCTATACATAAACAAATGTATTTAAAAAATAAAAAAAAAATTCAAGTTTCCCATTGTCTCTGACCCAATCTTATCGGTTACCGG